AGTGTCCGAACACCCCCCCCCCCCAACAATGCCACACCCACGTCTTTAAATTTCTAAGTCAAGACTCACAGCTCTTCTTTCCTCTTAATGATTTATTAATGGTTTCAGTCAATCAGACATTGCACTGGAGTTGGACATTCATTGGGACCGAACATGATGGATGCAGAGATTTAAAACATGGTAAACTCAGTATGTAGGATGTAGGCTTATTTTGGCTGAGGCCCGAGGCAACCTAGAGGCAGAAAAACATGATACACGCGAACGAGGCGTCAGCGGCTCACTTTTACATTACATTAATGCTAAAAGTTCATTGCTAAACAGATGCCCACAGATGTTCAAGTGTTAAACAAGTGCCTACTGTTCAATGTTGAACAGGTGCATACAGTTCAATGGTGGCTGAGTGGTCTAAACTGAGCAAATCTCAAGTTGGTGGTCTGAAGTTCAATTCACCAGAGCAAAAACATCAGTTGTCCAACATTCAGTTCTTCAACATTCAGTTGTCCAACATTCAGTTCTTCAACATTCAGTTGTCCAACATTCAGTTCTTCAATATTCAGTACTAGGTAGTGTTGCATTTAATTGAGCCCAGCATGTATTTACTAATGGTTCCTAGGTGTGTCACAAGATTTTGATTTTAAAAGAATAAAAATGCTTTTTTTTTTTAGTGGTCCTATGGGACCTCTTATGGATTGCCAGGATCCGTGGCAACCGTCCCTCTGGCACCCATGCAAAAATAGGTTTTCAAAGTATTTAAGTAATAGATTTAGGCTACAGTTCTACAACTGGGAATCCAAGCATGGAAAAGAAAAGCATCAGTTAGGTCTGTGTGGAAGGAAGTGGTGAGGCAGGTCGAATCCCTGCATGTGCTGTAGCACGACAGGGATGGAAGGTTTTATAGATCCAACCAATAGAAATGCACTGATGCTAACTAAGGCCAAGTCATGCCAAGTGCCGTTAAAAATGTGTTTAAATTGCATAACAGAACACAAGGCGGTTGTGCCAGATAACAAGGCCGTTGTGCCAGAACACAAGGCGGTTGTGCCAGATAACAAGGCCGTTGTGCCAGATAACAAGACCGTTGTGCCAGAACACAAGGCGGTTGTGCCAGATAACAAGGCCGTTGTGCCAGATAACAAGGCCGTTGTGCCAGAACACAAGGCGGTTGTGCCAGATAAAAAGGCCGTTGTGCCAGATAACAAGGCCAATGTGCCAGAACACAAGGCGGTTGCGCCAGAACACACGGCGCTTGTGCATCAAACACATTTATTAAAACACAGAATAAAGACAATGATCAATCACAATATGTTTTAAATAAGTTAATGTTTATTGACATCATTTTCAAATTATTGTGTAAAAAGTGTTTCAAGATAATTGCTACAAAAAGAAATTAAACAGAAAAATTATCTATAATAAATGTAGTTGTAAAAAAAAATGTTACGAATTTAAAATGACATTTTCTTCATATTAAAAAGTCTTAAAATTTTCAATAGCATTGGTTATATTTTACATGTTTGGCTAAGTTCACTAAAATATAATTACACAATTGTATAATATTCTAAAAAAAATGTCATTATACGAAAAGATGAGAAAGGATGTAGATCTTGTACAATCTAACATGACTTTTATAATACTAAAATTGATCTGTAAAATAATTTTTAAAGAAGAAAACATGGGTAGGCTTATGAAATATTGTTAACGAAACCGCTGGTCCCAGAACACTGAATGTATTCATCGATGGAAATAATAACAAAATGATAAATATTAATCATTGTAAAAAAAAAAAATTAAAAAAATATTTTTTTTAGCAATTTTAATTTCAATTTAAATAAAACAATTTGACAGCTCACTAGACAGTTTCAGTTCAAGACAAGAACTCTAAAAATAACATGACATGCACCACTGGTTCTAAGCCAATGCAGTGTGAAAATAATCTGAACCATAAGGCTTAAAAGATATTTTATTTGGCATTTTGTTTGATGAATTCTCATTAATGACTACATATGCCCGTACATGGATGCAGCAACGTACCCTATCAGAAATGTTTCGGAAAAGATTTGACTATTTTAATGTTTCGGGGGTTGAATAACATAAAAAGATCAACCTACATAATTTCAACTGTACCTCTGCGTGTATGCAGTTCAAAGAACATACAACTGCAAGGAAAGAAAGCATCATCACATAGGTGGTTTGGATCAAACTCAAAGAGAAGGGCCTTGCAAAAACCACACAAGGACCTTGCAAAAACCACACAAGGACCTTGCAAAAACCACACAAGATTGATCTTTAGGACGTTACGCCTATCAACAAAAACTAGGAATATTACTGGACATTCACTGGCCAGGACTTTTGGAAAGGGGATGGAGGAGTGATAGAAAAACTAGCCGTCCAAACAGAGTGGAGATGGATATGAAACATCGAGGGCGCCCAAGTGAAAGTTGGGGGAAAGGGTCTGGGGAGAAAATGTTTGATATATTAAAGATACAGAGACATGTTTTTTAAGCATGACAGTACCTGAGTTTTGCATCATTCTGCAATGGAAGAGATACTAGTGGAAATTTTATTTTTAATAGAAAAGTGTTAATCAGCCTCTCACTCATCTGAAAATACATTTCATGTTCCGATGATGATATGGTGACATTATGTGACATTATGTGGCTCATCATTTAGTATGGAAAATATTTTCCTATTTTTTTGTTTACTGTTCTAATTTATATTAGCTATTTATGGAAGTTTTTTTTTTAAAGTCTAGATTTTTTTCAATGCATTTCTGTGTCTTCCTTTTCCTGATGTTCTAAGCACATCGCTTAAAGGTTAATCTGGGCCTGATTACACAGTAGTTTGTACACAATTATAATGGATCAAAGGTGAGGCAACATTAGTTGATATAATTGGATAAAATTTGCCAAAAAGGAGTTTACAAATAAAAGTTTTAACAAAATCCCCATTTTTTTTTTCCCCTCCCCCCCCCCCCCCGGGCGGGGGAGGAGGTTAACATCCCCACCCTCATGGCCACTGATTTAATTTCAAGTGAAACATGAAGGGAATGTTGGAGGACTGGTAGAAAACTACCTTATCAAAAAAGAACACAACATTTGTTTAATTCCCAATTTATTAGAACCCCCCACACCCCCCAATCTTCTTTAAGTATTAACCTGTCAAATTTTTTTTTTACTAATTTGGTCATTGTGAAAGGACATTATTATTATTATTACATACAAGATGTAAAGAAAGCAAGAAACTTGAAATGTATTGGAGCAATAATTTAAACGCCATATACATTTGAACATGTAAGGTCCACATTAGAAGGCACATTCATGAATGGGTAACATACCGTAACTGTCCAATATAATCAATGTTACAAAAGCAATCTCCCTTAGACTTAGAGAATACGATACAAAACTAATGCCAAGAAACAAAGGGAATGCTGTGTGACATGACAGAATTGATTAAAAAGCACCATTGTTACAGTTATCGTCAACAAAATATCAGTTGTCTGCCACAGAATGTGTTTATCATTTGTATGTCACAGTATGTATTTTAGGAAATATAAAAATTTGATTAATTAATAAAACATTGCTGCTAAGGAAATGTGTAAACAGTAATTATTTTAACAAAATTATATTAAAAAATTCCAAAAGTGTAACAAAGTTAAGGACATATTTTTGATCACTTCTTTGGGATGTAAAGGTTTAGGAAATATTCACATTGTAAAACATTTTGTTACAGAGAAATTTATTAGTATGATATTGAAATGAACACTGACACTTAAGTATCATTTCTATTAAAACCACTTTGAGACATTTTCTGATGTCCAAAAGTATGAACAATGTTTCTTGTACAGGTTCGTGTACGGTACCGGTACGTTTAATTTAATTTCACCAAGAAAATTAGGGTTAAATGAATGTAAATGTGATCTGGAATTTTTTTTAGAAGATTTAAAACTGGAATACTATTAAAAAGAGCTACCAGTTTGACGGGTCGATGTTGGTAACTTTTGGAATGAACATTGATTGGAAGGTTTGATCTATGATTAAAAGAAGAGAATTTATTAAGAGTGACTATCTATAAGCCCCCTAAGGTCACTGTGGGCAAATACATTATTTTTTGCAATGTTTTCTTAAGCAAAAAAGACCATTCATGCGAAAAAAAAAAAAAGGTTAAGATTCCAGATGTTTGGTCAAATGTAGTTCAAAATATCCAATTTAATGTTCGACTTAAGAATTTAGTCCAACATATCCAATTTAATGTTCGACTTAAGAATTTAGTCCAACATATCAAATTTAATGTTCGACTTAAGAATTTAGTCCAACATATCAAATTTAATGTTCGACTTAAGAATTTAGTCCAACATATCCAATTTAATGTTCGACTTAAGAATTTAGTCCAACATATCAAATTTAATGTTCGACTTAAGACTTTAGATACCGGTAATTATTTTGTACATTGGTGATTTGTTCTTTTGTTTATAAATGAAAATATAACCTTCTCAAAATAGCCCATATAACTTTAGATAGTTTGCACCACAGTATAAGCATATGCAGACGTTGACAGTTTAGAGAACACTGGAGGAGAAAAATGTGAAGTATTGAAATAGCTACCACTTAAATGATAACAGTCCAAAAAATAGATTATGTATCACTGTAGAGCTTGATTGATTTCATTCTTGAACAAAAAATGAACAGTAATCGTGTAGATCAATTTTATGTTATGTTACAATGTTACGTCATTTATTTATTTCAGTCTCCAACTGAACCTCAGATTAATATTTTAGTTACAAAATTTTACGTTAGTAGAACTTCACATAACAGAGCTTCATGTAAGAGAACTTCACATAACAGAACTTCACGTAACAGAACTTCAAGTAAAAGAGCTGGAGGCATCAGAACTTCATGCAACAACACCTTTACCCTTTACCCAATGGCATTACCCCCATTACACACGTGCAATACTTTTAAATTAGAATCACATGTATAAGATATGATGATGGATCTGCTCATGTCTAAGATATGATGATGTATCAGCTCATGTCTAAGATATGATGATGGATCTGCTCATCAATCTAAATGTATAGTATAGTTCTAACTTTTCTCATGTCATAATACACAGAAGATGGAGATGGATAGATAAATTTGTGATGAAATGACACAAAAATGTGGTTGTATTGGTTGTGATATCAAAATGAAAATGATCATTTACCAATGACTAAAAATGAAAAAAGATAGAAAGGACTTGGACACTTATCACAACCTGTTACCAAAATATTCAAAGATATTTTGATGAAGTAAACATACCCCCCCCCACCCCTATCTAACTTATAACAATTACGCAATTGGCCAATTGAAAATGAGAAATTGATTAATTATACTAGAGCCCCATGCTTTCCAAGGGGTCTAGAGTTTTTCATGTTCTGCATATGGGCCTGCGACTCCGAAAACAAAATTGCAAGTTGAATGAGACTGAATAACCTTTTCAAAAAAAAAAATTTTTTAAATCAACTTCTAAATCACTTACTAATAACTAATCAGATTAAGTTTATTAAACAAACTTGTTTATAATTCATTTATAAAACGAACTCATTTTTAATTCGTCAGTACTTAAATTATTCAATATGTATGGGTAAATAGCCATGTGGAATGAAAATGTCTGCCCAGAATTGCAACAATTCTTGAGAAGAAAGTAAACCCTGAGTAATAAAATAAAACTCAACTTCTTAAGTCCTAAGATGGCAATGAACCTATAATTGGATTAAAATGCATCTGACTAAGCTATCCTGGCTCACAAAAAAAAATGCATTTTTTTTTTTTTAAATAATGAATTAAAAATTGTGGACGATTTGTTAATAATGCCAGCAAAAATAAATCTTTTCTAAAAATATAAACCAGTATTAGATACCAGTAAAATGAAAAAAAGGATAGGTCTAGCAATGCCCATTGTTGATTAATTTAAAAATGAACAACATTATTTGAAGAAATCTCAAGGAGATTGTGACAAGAATCATGAAATTATACAGAACCACATTAATGCCAGGCACATCATTTAAATTCCTTGATATAAATGACAGATTTTTGCTAAAATAAATTGTTTACGTGGCAGGATAATGCATCCATTTAAGTCTGTCGTAAAATTAAAATTATCAGCCATGCTACTCGGCCCAATGATGAAACAAATAAGGATCACTATATGACCAAAATAATGTGAATAGGATTTCTCATATTAGCTTAAACCTTCATCATTTTAAGTTCAAATATCGGATGTATATATTTTTTGATTCATACTTTGCTAAATTCCTGTTTTAATTAGTTTTCTGTGATATAATCATTTACAATTTATTGAATCCTTTCAGTTTGATAAATACCGGTATTTCTTTAAATAAAAATTTCCAATTTAAAATATGAATCATTTTAACATTGTTCTAATTTTAACACACCTCCTCATTATTTTTTTATGAAATAATGCAAAAAAAAAAAACATTGCAATAATATTGGGCTGAACTGAAAATTACATTTTTAATGTATCTGTACCAGTATTCTTTTACTGTACCGGTGTTAGGATTGGGTACTGTCGGTGTTTCACCGTAAGCTAATTCTTAAGCCTCTACCGGCCACTCACAGTAATTCATAAGTTAAGTAGCATGTGCATTCAAAACAAACTTTATAAAAATCAACATCTTCAAAAATATTTTTAAAAGCATAAAAAAATTGAACATATATAACAAATGTAATCATTTAAAACAATCAGTATATAAAGTTGTACAAATAAAATAGATGACTTAGTAAAATGTTTAAATAGTCTGTGTGATGATTTCTCTACAAATTTTCTCTTGAAAACAAAAATTCCAATGCACACAAGTGTCTCTCACTTATGTTCACGTATAAACATAATCTCCCCACTGGAAAGATATGATTTTTAAAAGTTTTTTTTTTTATTGCCATGTGCTTATTTAAAGAAGAGATCAAATTAATGGCATTGCCTTAGTCGAATTTCTTAGGCGGAAGGTCATCATCGTTGTCCTCTACCTCAGGTGCCGTCGGACTGGCCGGTTTACCGTTGGGACCCAGATTTTGGTTCACGTCCTCACTGTCCTTTAGCCCGTGGTGTTGTTTGTACATCTTCCACAGCTGACTGACCAGGTCCAGTGTCAGCATGTCCCCGATGTTCCCAGCCACTATCCTCATCATGAAGACTCCATCGGTCCTCAGGTAATTGGACACAAATCTTTTGAATATCTTCGTCTCATTTTTCGTGTTGATGTTCAGCAGAGTGAGGTACTTGGAAAGAAAGTTCTCACCCGTGTGCGGGACAAGGGCTCTGAGCAGCCAGTGGAGGAGGTTGACCGAGTTGAAAACGAGCAGCATGACCAGCCAGAACCAGAAAATCAGGTACATCTTCTCCAGGAAAAGGTTGATGGACAAGACGCACTGGACGCTGAATGTTTGCAGATTCTGGAGTTGTCTTATCTTGTAGTCGCACATGCCGACACGAGGGAATGTGTAGTGGTCTTGCCAGTTGCCCTTCTTGGCCATCGTCTCCATGGCTTTAATACCGAACATCCAAAAATTGATATCCAGAAAAGCGGAGAGGAGAAAAAACTGACCAATGACATTGGCCAAATACAGCAGCTTCACGAACATGTACAGTCCATTTAAGTAAGTGCCCGATCGTTTGCCAAAACAAAACATGACCCGAGAAAATTTATCTCTGAAGTTCGTGAGAGCGTTGTACCGGTACTGGGAGTAGGTGACCAGCCATCGGTCGATGAAATGGGCAATGTGACCCATTTTTTCATCTCGTTTTTCCTGCGTCAGCATAGAAGTGTCCAGGGCCATGCCGACAATTTTGGAGACATTGACACCGGAGTAGTTCTTCAGCTGCTGCCAGACCATGTGTGGGAACTTGAAGAGAAAAGCTTGGAGGAGAAATACAATGAACACCCACCTGTAGTAACCGATGTCATTGTACCGCCTGAAGAAGAGAAAGGAAACAATTTATTGATTGTACCACCTGAAGAAGAGAAAGGAAACAATTTATTGTTACAGTAAAAATATATGTTTAGTACATAATGCCACCTTTGAAACAAGCAGATCATGATAGGAAAAATTATATTGATTTATTCTTTTTTTTTTTAAAGTCCTAGGAACTGGTATTGAGATCAGGTGCATCATGGAATATTGCTTAGCAAGGCTGTACGTTTGGAAGAACTGATTTCCAAGAAACTGAAGCCAAATTTGTTTTAGGTCCGAGTCACTTAAACTTAAAATCTGTGTTGACTTTCAATCAGACTTTGTCTATCCAAAACAGATGACAAACAGCTGATGATTTTTTTTTTTCTACATGAAATCTGAAATTCACTTAACATTTCAGCGCAATAAGAAGTCTTAAGCCATTGAAAAAAGTTTGCAAAAGTGAAGTCTTAAGCCATTGAAAAAAGTTTGCAAAAGTGAAGTCTTAAGCCATTGAAAAAAGTTTGCAAAAGTAAAGTCTTAAGCCATTGAAAAAAGTTTGCAAAAGTGAAGTCTTAAGCCATTGAAAAAAGTTTGCAAAAGTGAAGTCTTAAGCCATTGAAAAAAGTTTGCAAAATTGAAGTCTTAAGCCATTGAAAAAAGTTTGCAAAAGTGAAGTCTTAAGCCATTGAAAAAAGTTTGCAAAAGTGAGATTCATACATTTTAAATCTAGTGATTGTCCAAATTGTGTTTAAAAATCATTTAGCTTATCTAAAAACTTTAAAAATATCAAGCTGGTGCATCCCACATATAACTGATCTTTGACCACTTATTTACCAAATAATAAAGGTATTGCAGATTAATTTTGAGAACCACTGATACACAGTACAAGATCAAATCTCACCAAGCCTACAGTAGGCTACACATACATGCATGTACCACCACTGCTTAATGCTATAAATAGATAACAGGATAAAAACCTGTTCACTTTCATGGCAAAAAGGGGAGGTCTGTGTTAGCCATCTCTCAGGTCATTGAATTTAAAATTAAATTTGTTCTTAAATTAGAAAAATCATGATAAGTGGCTTTCCCAAGGAAACATTTTTATAACTGGAAATCTTCGGATGGCCTGTGTTATGCAATGTAAAAATGCAACATATGTCCCAATGCATTATATTTTGAGAATCACATTTCTAGCCTGGAGACAGAAATGTCATGACAGGTTGGCCACTTCCCACATGTCAACAGGAGTATTTACTTTAAACAGCCAACATTTGGCAAGGAAGGAATGGTCCTCAAACAGGATTGAGCATTGGTTAAACAAAGGATATTTACACTACTCAGGAGCAGAGTGCCCCAAACAGGCTTCTCAGACATAACAAAAAAAGGCCAACTGGGGCAAAATGGAAGATTTAAAGTCTTGCTGACTTGGGAAAATAAAAATACTAGACTTGGGAAAATAAAAATAACATGAAACATTAAAAAAATAAACTAAAAAAAAAAATGAACACATTTATATTTATATATAAGAAAAGCCCAGACATGTCTTTCTATCCAAAATGCTCGGTGGGAATACCCACTTTTTTTTTTTTGCATCACAAGTTTGTAATTTGTGAAAGTAACACTAAATAGAGGAACCAGGGAAATGAGATTTCTTTTGCGTCATATGAACAAGTCGAACATGAAGAAAACAAAAGTTGGCGTAATTTTGTTAATGAAAGTGGTCATAAAATAAGTGTTGAGACGAGGGAGATCAACAAACCCTTCAATGGATTTTCAATGCAAATAGAAATACTGCATTCCAGAACATTACCAAGGACCCGGCAAATGAAAAACAAAATCACAAAAACTGTATGAGTTTGTCAAGTTTTGTTTAATTATTGCGTATAAACAGATCCTTTCATTCTTTATTTTACAGAGCAATTCAAACATTCGGAGAGTGATTTGGAATGACAATAAAGATCAGGGTTAGGGTAGCAGAATTCGAGGGCAAAAAGAGCAGAGTGGTCTGTGTAATGGGTGGTCCTCCGTGGTTCTGTGCCACATGGTATTCCACGGGTTATTTCTTGGTTATATACAAGTTCTTTAACTTAAACTATGAAACTAAAATTTAATATCACTTCTATATTTCTACAACCTTTGATTATTGTGTTGAACTCGACAGATTACGATTTAATTTTTCATTTGTTTCGTAGCTATGATTAGGATGCATATTATTTTGTTTTTGTGTGCAAAAAAAAAAACAAAACAAGGACCACCGGAATCAGTGGCGTAGTGATAGGGATACTGAGGGGATGGTCTGCCCCTACCAGCCAAACGTAGAGATTTTTTTCATGTCCAATCCTGTACAGCCCCAGGTGGAAATAACCCTAGCTAAGCCACTGACCGGAATAAAACTTTGAACAGGATGAGAAATGCTTTGAAGAGCCAGCCAATGGTGAATCCTTCTAAAAGGTAGCGCATGCGTGGAACAACCTAACACAACCTCAATGGAACTATGAAGTACACTAAGTACAGAGTTACAGTATTAAATATTGTGTTCTGGTATTAAAGAAAAACAGAAAGGAAAATATCATAACTCATGTCAATAATAATAATTTGAGCGAAAATAGTGGGTGTTGTAGTTCCACAGTGCTAAACGCAAGCCATCACTGGCCATATGGATAATTGATGCCGGGGGCCGAGTATGCCAAGTTGTTGATAAAAAGCAGGAATATGGAATGCGTTCACTTAAATCCAGATGATGAAAATTGGAAAAATTCAGAGAAGGGAAAAAATGATTTAATATGTTAATCTCGGCTTCACAAATACAATACAAGTTCAATATCTACTGTAAAAGTGAATTGGAAATGTCTTTTGGGGAAGGCCTGTCACAAAGTGGGTCAGGTTCTTTGGAAAACCACGCAGTGGTCATTTCAACGTGTACCGGGAGCTGGGTTTCAATTATTTAGCAGATTACTAAACTAATGGTCAGGGTGATTGACAGGACCTTATACTGGGTGATTGACAGGGCCGTAGACTATCCAATTCATTTTAGAAGATCTTTTAACTGTGAAACTTTGCTTTGGGATGAAAATCCTCAACAAATCACAGAGATTGATAAGATCTTGTGTGTTTTTTTCAACAGTCTGTTTTATCTTGTATGCTCATGTTCTTTCCATGATATTACTCTGCTTGCGTGATCTACATCAGCTTGCGTTATCTACATCAGCTTATATGATCTATACTTGCTTAAATGATCTACATCTGCACACATTAGCTGACAACTGCTTACGCCCAATAGTTAACAGTAAGCATTGTTTATAATCAAGTGCTTCACTAAAGTTATTTTTCCACATAACTCTTTATTTTCTATGTTGTTCTGCATGACTGACAAAATGTAATTTAGATAACTCGGAAAAAAGAATACACATTTTGCATCTTTCACTTTTAAATAAAACACATGTACGCATTATTTGTTAACAATAATCAACCAGAGCCCTTTACCTCCACCCCCCAAGTGAAACACAGATGTAATTTTCTATTAAATTTAATTATTGGTATCCATTTCTATTTGTGTGTTCAAGAAGTAATTTTTAAAAAAAAAATTGTATGAGCCTAGCAATCTTCAAGCTTAAATTATTTACATTAAGAGGATATAAACAATAAAATAATAAGATTTAAACAATAAAATAATAAGATATAAACAATAAAATAATAAGATAGAAACAATAAAATAATAAGATAGAAACAATAAAATGAGATAGAAACAATAAAATAATAAGATAGAAACAATAAAATAATAAGATAGAAGCAATAAAATAATAAGATAGAAGCAATAAAATAATAAGATAGAAACAAAATAATAAGATAGAAACAATAAAAGAATAAAGAGATAGACACAATGAAAGAATAAGCGGATAGACAAAATACAATAATAAGAGGATATAAACAAATAAATAAAATATGTTAACATGAAATAAATGAATACATCAATTAAATTCATAATGACACTGGCATTTCCTTTTTTTTTTTTTTTGTGGATCTGTGGACCCAATTGAGGGCAACTCAAACTGGCTTGTTCTATTTATGTCACTGCAGCTCGGCCTCCAACTTACCTTATAAAACTGTTTTAGGACGTTAAAAAAAAAAAAAAAAAAAAAAAAAAAAAAAAAAAAAAAAAAAAAAATAAAAAAAAAATAAAAAAAAAAATAAATAAAATAAATAATGACACAGGAATTTCATTTTTTTTTTTTTTGTGGATCTGTTGACCCAAGTGAGGGCAACTCAAACTGGCTTGTTCTATTTATGTCACTGCAGCTCGGCCTCCAACTTACCTTATAAAACTGTTTTAGGACGTAGGACAGTAAAGAGAGGATCAGCAGGCTGATATTTACCTGTCATCTGGGGCAAACGGTATGGGCTCATCAAACGGAATGTTGTACATTGGAAAAACCCAACAATAGCTGTCAGAGTACTGCTGAAAGTGTTTCTTAGTGTACTGGGCAGGAACCCAACAGTGGATGGGATCACCGACGTACTGCTTAGCCCCAGCTCCTAAAATAAAATAAAAATTAATTTAATAAAAATTAATTCATATTAAACAACACCTCATATTTGATCTGTTCCCTAAAAAAATCTGGTTGGAAACTCATTTAATGAAACTAAACTTCTAATTGAAAAGACCCATAATAACGATTAAAATGAAATATAGTTTGAATGGCTGGGCATAAGCAGCATTTGCAGTTCTGTACATTACCGTTACTTGGTCCAACATATCCCTAGAACATATCCCTTGAACATATCCCTTGAACATACCCTTTGAACATATCCCTGGAACATATCCCTAGAATATATCCCTTGAACACATTTCTTGAACATAGCCCTTGAACATATCCCTAGTTCTAGTAGGTTAATCAATTGTACTGAGAACTTCACTAGAGAGATGACAATCAGAGTAACCATCAACGTCAAGGCAACATATTGGCCGTGAAACATAAATATGTCTGCTCACATAATATATGGACCCAAATCTAAATAAATGCTTATATTTGAGGGCCAAAATTGCTAAGACTAGCCATGCTTATAATCAGAGGGCCTATATTGCTATAGCTGGTTTTATTGTTATAACTGATGATCATTTCCAGTCTTTACATCTGTCACATACCCATGGCCAGAGCAAAAAGTAAACCAACGGTGGCCCAGTGATTCAACTGATCAATGACATCATCATCCCTCACACGGCTTCTCAGGGCGATGTTGGCAAAGTTGGTCAGAATCGTAGCAATAACAGGTGCCCTGGGGAACATAGGAGATTTGTTTAAAACCATTTTTAAAGATAAAATTTCAATAAAAAGAAGTTATCCAGATAACAAAACATAAATAAATGCTTAAGTATATCATAAATCTCAAACTTCCAACCATAACGTCTTTAATTTCTAAAGCTCAATAGCTACATGAAACTGGAAGGCAAGGGGATGCTCTGTGGCGAATGGCTACATATTGGTTGGCAAGGGGATGCTCTGTGGCGAATGGCTACATGATATTGGTAGGCAAGGGGATGCTATGTGGCGAATGGCTACATGATATTGGTAGGCAAGGGGATGCTCTGTGGCGAATGGCTACACGATATTGGTAGGCAAGGGGATGCTATGTGGCAAATGGCTACATGATATTGGTAGGCAAGGGGATGCTCTGTGGCAAATAGCTACGTGATATTGGTATGAAAGGGGATGCTCTTTGGCAAATGGCTATATGACAATTTAGTTCCTTTTAAGTACTGCCCTAGAGAGGACAGCACACAGGAAATATCAAATGTTGGCCACACAGGTAACATCAAATGTTGGCCACACGGGTAACACCAAATGTTGGCTACACGGGTAACATCAAATGTCAGCCACACGGGTAAAATCAAATGTTGGCCACACAGGTAACATCAAATGTTGGCCACACGGGTAACACCAAATGTTGGCCACACGGGTAACATCAAATGTCGGCCACACAGGTAACATCAAATGTTGGCCACATGGGTAACACCAAATGTCGGCCACACGGGTAACATCAAATGTCGGCCACACGGGTAACATCAAATGTTGGCCACACAGGTAACATCAAATGTTGGCCACAAGGGTAACACCAAATGTCTGCCACATGGGTAACACCAAATGTCTGCCACATGGGTAACATCAAATGTCGGCCACACGGGTAACATCAAATGTTGGCCACACAGATAACATCAAATGTTGGCCACACGTGTAACACCAAATGTTGGCCACATTGGTAACACCAAAGGTTGACCACACAGGTAACACCAAAATTTTGGCCATGTAGGTAACATCAAATGTTGGCCACTAGATAACATCAAATGTTGGCCACACAGGAAACATCAAATGTTGGTCATTCGGGTAACATCAAATGTTGGCCATCATGGACCAAGCATGTTCTTAGTCCTACATCAGGACCTGTCAACACAAGTGTACCTGTGGCATGTTCTTGGCATTTGTGAAATTTTACTACAAGTCAAAGTTTTTTTACCACTTGAGCAATCTAATTATCTGATAAAGTGACGCGAGAGGGTGCAGCCCTGGCCTCCTACGTGATGTGAAAAGGATTGCAGTGATTGTGTAAAATGTTAACAATTTTGTGAGTGTTCGTCCTTGTACTTTTCATTTATCTGGTCATGACTCAGATATGCAAGGGGAGATGAAGTGTATGTCTCAGACAATGCAAGGGGAGGTGGAGTTGAGAATCCAGTAAACAATGTTTGCATAATATGGTCATAGAGAAACCATTTTACTAATGCTTAAAAAAAGCAATACATAGCATAACATATAATATGTAAGCCAACATGATAAATTACTTCTGTGTGTTTGAACTGTTAGGTGAAAATGTACAGGGCATGTGATGTAGTACCCTCCAGGAGAGGGCATGCAATGTAACATTATAAAGTGCCCTAGGTCAGGGCATGTGAGGTACATAGTGCTCCCCTCCTCACCCACCCATAAAATACCCTGCCACTGAACTAAATGAATTAGACTAAATTATGTTTTTACACTTATAAAAATATGTGTATGTTAATATTATTCTTTACAACAGTTAGATCAGCCATGACATATTCAGGGTTGTTGTGGGGGATGCCCCCCCCCCCCAGTAACTAACAACATTTTTCAACCCACATTAAAAAAAAATTTTTTGAACAAAAATAACATTCAAAAGTTATATATATTACAAAGAAGAAAGAGATCAATGTGATAACTTTCAGAAAGTCTTTCACTTAGCACACTTTCCATTCAAACATATACATTAAGGAAAGGCTGATCAGATGAGAGATCATTTTAGTTTTTCAAACTTACATTTTTTACTTCTTGGTGATTATTTGTTGCCACTGTCCGTAACTTCCGCAGCCTAATTCCTGAGAGATATTGGAAAATTTCTATTGTTATTCAACATCATAACTTGAACAATAAATAAATAATTTCAGTTTCAAAATAAACAAGATAAAATTATTAGCTTGTATGGAAAAGATAAGAGTATCATGCCCAGCCGTTAATAGGTGTAAGAACAGAACAAGAACAACAGATTATCATAATAAATGTGATAACCAAATTTAATTATATTTATTCTATTGAATTTTTAAATACTGAAGACTTGATAATGCCTTCCCTTTGTTTAGCTGTTAAAATAAATGTTAAAATTTAGCAAGTTCACTTTTGTCATCTCTTATTAAACAATTTGTTGTGATGTAAGGCGCTACGTGCAGGTGGTCTCTCTTGTAATCAATGATAATATGATAACACATTTGTTAGGCATTGTAAGAGCCAGAATTAGAACAGTTTTGATTATATCACTAGGTTGATATTAAGCCAATACACTATCTACATTATATTTATACTTATTGCCTGTTTAATAAAACTGTTATTTTTTCACATGACAGGAATCAATAAGTAAATTAGCTGCCTTCATTGATTTGGACAGATCTACATTGATTTGTATTGGTTCTAAGCATCTTAGCTTCTTCACTGCCAGTGCAGTGGTACTACAAAAACACTGGTACAGGTATTATCGGTACAGTTGTACACCAGAACAATGGTACTATTCCTACAGTGACACTACCAGTCATTTGTACTACCAGTACGAAGGTACTACCAGTACAGTGGTACTATTCTTACAATGGTACTACCAGTTCATTTTTACTACCAAAACATTTGTACTACCAGAACAGTTGCAGCCTACTACCAGAACAGTTCTACTACCATAACAGTCCTACTACCATAACAGTCATACTACCATAACAGTCATACTACCCTACTAACAAATCTTATAACTGTTTAAATATTTAGAATTAAAACAATATATGATACAAATATTTAATTAATAAGATAAAAAATCTACTATTACAATTATTGGTTAGACTTTTTACATAACTTGGACATAAATTATTAATTATGCCACGGATCCTATGTATGCCTACTGTTTTATTTTATAAAATAAATCAACATATGGTATATAATAATAGATTTATAGAATTGATAGAGTCACATATGTACGCAATTATAGGCCTACTTGCCTACTACTACTTTAACTTTAAACAAGCCTTTGACTTTGATTATTTGAATCAGAAGATAAGATTGTGACCCCCATCGGGTCTAACAGTCTAACACTAATAGTAGCCTACTAACTAACAGTAATCATGAACATGCTGCGTAGCACACTAATCCAGGACTTCACAACAAACCCACAGATTTATCGTGAGAAGGCAAGCGCGGTAGCACGTCTGTCCCAAATGTGTCAGAATCAACAAAATAACCAAAACAAACCAGTTTCCCTTTCATTATAACACCAGGCGATAGGATAGGGCAGTGGTGATTAGAAGAGTGAACGTACTGTAACTTTACATCCTACTCCTACAGACTACAGTTACAGTGATGACCTGGTGGGCCAAGAAATGGGTAGGGCAAAGTAACAGCCGAGTAGAAATGTAGCGTCATAGTTAATATAGGCCTTTAAACAAAGAATAACTACCACAACCACTACACTTAAATACTTAAATAAAAGTGTATCCTTCCAATACAAGTAGGCCCTATAATATAAGTATATTAAAGTTAAAGGTCTGCCGCCCGTAGAAATGAGAAACATATTACAACACAGTCACATGCATTACGCTGAATCTGAGTCCACAGTAATATTAATAATATTATGAATTTATCAAATATTGTCGTGAGGATAACGTGTTCTTAATAGCAGGTGGTCGTTGGCATGCACACCCACGCACGATCCTGCACTGCTAACAACATAGGGAAGTCGTCCCCAGCACATCTCAAGTTTAGAGCTCAAGTAAGCGTGAAACACGATGAACACGTCCTGTTCTTTGGTTTTTCTTAAATGTCAAAATTCTAAGTAAAGTAAACCACTTCACTTACCTCACCGAGCTCTCTGTTACTCTTATTTATCGAATGGGGGTGCATCGACTGTACTGTTAATTACCCCGAATTTGATTACAAATTACGTGTGTGAATATTTCATATTAGAACTTTTCTTTCACACGTAGAGAAATTAGGTCACTACATCGCATTTCACACTTGGCTCTCTCGCTCTCTCTCTCTCACACACACAGTCAAAGGTGCCCCCATTCTGGCGTCACTTAGGGATACGCTACTTCGCAGTGGCGTAGCGAGGGTGTTTGGCGCCAGGGGACAAGATCCATTTTTAGCGCCCCTTTTTCTTTTTTTCAACACTCAAACCAATTATTTTCATCAATAAAATAATATCAAAGCACATTTTGGCGCCCCTAACTAGCTGGCGCCCGGGGACATCTGTCACCCCTGCCCCCACCACGCTACGCCTCTGCTACTTCGGTATCATGATGGGTTGTCGCGGAGAGGTGTTTTTCATCATTTTATTTATTCAACATTTGTTACAGCATAAAGTAATTATATTGAATCTAAGGAATACCCCTTTGATTGTTTGCCACTCGTGTTATTTTTTTATTTTTTTTTTGTTTATTCATAATGACCCACCCCTGCCCACCCCCTCACTCACAGTCACACTGTCACACGTTGTCAGCAACTGTATTTTTTAGTACTTGAAGGCCATATTGATAAAGAACAAAGTTCTACCTTATTGGTAGGCATTGTAGGGGTGCCAGTGGGAGATAAGAAACACAAGTACGCCTTTATGAAACCATACAACACAAAGCAAGATTTCGTCAGGGGAACAGGTTAGGTGGGTAACACTTTTAGTTAGTCTCAAGTGACACGGTGGGTGAGGAGCAGGGGTGGTAAGGAGCAGGGATGGAAAGGAGCAGGGGTGGAAAGGAGCAGGGATGGAAAGGAGCAGGGATGGAAAGGAGCAGGGAAGGTGAGGAGTAGGGATAGTAAGGAGCTGGGGTGGTAAGGAGCAGTGTTGGTAAGGAGCAGGGAGCCAGAAGAGTAGGCCTAAGGGTGGTGAGCAGCAGGGACAATGAAAAGCAGGGACGGTGAATATCATGAAGAGCAGGGACGGTGAATATCAGGGTTTGATCTAGAAAATGACGCCGAAGCTATGCCATAAATTCGTATATTAATACATTGCTACGTACGATTTAAAAAAACCAAAACAGCCCGCATAATATATGTGTAGCGCTCCAGGTACGACCCCCCCCCCTATTGTAAATAAACACACATATAAATAAATAAATTAAAAAAATTCTAAAAAAAAAAAAAAAAAAAATAAAAATTACGTAAGATTTAAAAAAACCAAAACAGCCCGCATAATATACGTGTAGCGCTCCAGGTACGACCCCCCCCCCTATTGTAAATAAACACACATATAAATAAATAAATTAGAACATTTCTAAAAAAAAAAAAAATAAATAAAAAGCCACATCGACTGTCAAAAGTTACACTACCCAGAAGACCGTTACAGATATTTGGGTTTGGTCGCCCGACCACCGACCACCCAGAAGTCCAGCATTGTACACCAAAACACTAATAACGCATATTCCAAAATTACCTACTTAAAAAAAAAACAATAAAAAATGAAACAGTCCAAAACCTTCAATGTATCAGAAGAAGTTGTTGTTTTTTTTTCTTCCCTACACTTTTCAGTACTTTTCTTTAAATCTGTACCATTCATCATATTTACGGAACCAACCTGTGTACTGCACCAATCACTCATAGGACCAACCACAGTCAACAGCCGGACGACTGGACCCCCCCCCCTCGGGGGAAGGGGGGATGTAGCCATCGTGTGTTAACCTATCATGTAGTGTAGTGGTTCCCAAACGTTTGAGTTTGGCGGACCGGTGAACAAGTTTAGAAATTTTACCAGGGACCGGTGCATGATTTATTTTTATACTTTCATTTCTATTTGACAATAAATATTTATGTTATGGGCACCGGCAGCGTTAGGCATGCGGACCGGTGAAGGTCCACGGACCGCCATTTGGGGACCACTGATGTAGTGTATATCCTATAGTTTAATACGTCATGATCAGAAACAGGTCGCCCAAGTCATCTTGGCCGTGGGAGGTGGCTCCTGCCTGCTCTTGAATGAAACAAGTGGCGTAAGGGGAGCTTAACAGTTTGAAATGACATTGAAACTAAATCTGGTCTAGATGACAACACTAGCTTCGTCAACAGGCTCTCGACCTGATAAACAGCCCAATCCAATATCATGCATTCAGCGGCGTAGGAAAGAGGAGGTATGGAGGGTGTTGTCGCCTCGAGTGATGTAATTTTTTCCTTATATTGAGGGGTGTCATTTTCGGACAACTGCAGAGGTTTTTTTTTTTATTGGTAAATGTAGGCGTAGAACTTGTCACGCCCCTGGCGGCACTATCTGTAGATACGCCACTGAATACATTAGTTGCGTCTCAATACAATTATTTTCACTATTCAACCCACCGTTCCCCCTTTAAAAAACCCACAAACATCATGTTATATCTCGTTTTCTTCGAAAATAGAAATTAAAATTATTTTTTAAAAAAACAACAAACATTAAAAGTTATGAATTCCCTCTAAGTATCAGTGGTCAGTGCTGTGATCAGTGCTGTGGTCAGTGATGTGGTCAGTGCTGCAGGCAGTATCGGTAACACACTCCGCATGAACAAGACTTAACACATACGGGCCAAACTTCCTACAAAAAGGGGGGGGGGGGCGTACATTTCTACTCTACGACCAGGGCAGATCAAAATTTCCCGCGCCAAGCGTCCCGGATTTTTTCTTCCAGACGCGTGATACTTGGCACGTGCGTGGTCCGGGGGTTTTCCCTCTAAGTATCAGTGGTCAGTGCTGTGATCAGTGCTGTGGTCAGTGATGTGGTTAGTGCTGCAGGCAGTATCGGTAACACACTCCGCATGAACAAGACTTAACACATACGGGCCAAACTTCCTACAAAAAGGGGGGGGGGGCGTACATTTCTACTCTACGACCAGGGCAGATCAAAATTTCCCGCGCCAAGCGTCCCGGATTTTTTCTTCCAGACGCGTGATACTTGGCACGTGCGTGGTCCGGAGGTCAATCACAGGTCAGCGAGGCGCAGCGCGTAGCGTTCTCTCCCTTCAACTAAACCAGGAGTCTCAAACTCAAATCATCCGGGAGCCGCAGGAGGCAGAGTCTGACAGAGACTGTGACGCATCAAGTATTCCACACAACAAAAAAAAAAAAAAACGATTACAAATCCAATAAAGTAAAACTGTTACAATCTGCCCAACCTTTAGTCATAACAAGTAAAAACTTGAAAGGTTCTCAAGAACTAGGCTTCACTTTCTTCCTCACACTGCTTGTTGCTAGTGACCACATTGAGAGGTTCGGAATATTCCTCACTCGTAAACATTAGCGGCAATTTTAATAGGGATTCTTTGAGACTGTGTCAGATCGCTACGATTTACACAATTATGGTTACCCACTAACTGACTTCTTAAAATTTTGAAAAATGTATGTATAATATTCGAAGTGTGTTTTCTCAAGACCGCACTTTGGCCATGTTTGTATCATAAAATGCTACAAATTAAAAACCTATAGTCCGATTTTAAAACGGTTTTCACCATTATAATCAACGCCAAAATCTATAAAAACATAATACAACTCAGAATTAGACCAGTCGGTGAGGTTCGACTGAAACCGTCGCGGAGGGTCACATTATAAGATATAAGAATGGGGGAAACCACGCGGGCCGCATTAACACTAAATTTACTGTCATGTCGCGTAGCCGCAATATATCGTTTTGCGGGCCACAAATGGCCCGCGGGCCGCGAGTTTGAGACCCCCTGATCTAAACTCTCCTGGCAAGGAAAAAAAAAATCCCTTGTGTTGACCAGGCGTGCATGAGCCAACAATAAAACAAAGCTAGAGCTATATGCCTTGTGGTATGGTCAGCAGCAGTGGCGGTTATTTCTGGGAGGCGGTTTTAGCATTGCTTTTATTATTTGTTAAAAATTGCCTGTTGGGGGGAGGGGAGAGGGGGGGGGGTCGACAGTTTACGAGGTATAATCCTGAGTAGCATAAGAAATCTGCAAATGATTTCATCACAAGAAAGTGTCAATTTTTTAGAATCTGTAACAGTGTAGGTCAACCCAAAAGGTTTCGCGGGTCACTTTGATCGTCAGTAAACCGTTTGCAGGTCACATATTGCATATCATTAGACTTTATATTTAAATGAACACCCACTAAATGTTGTATATTATACAGTGTACTGGTATATGATCGTTTCTCTTTTCTTAAAACATGTAGGTTACTGAAATGCTAAAAAAAAAAAAAACAATGGAAACTAAACTAATGTGACGTCATTTTCTCTTTTTTCTCACCAATTAAAAAAAAAATAGACTTTTAAATGAACACCCACTTAATGGTGTATATTATACAGTGTAATGGTATATGATCGTTTCTCTTTTCTTAAAACATGTAAGTTACTGAAATGCTAAAAAAAAAAAAAACAATGGAAACTAAACTAATGTGACGTCATTTTCTCTTTTTTCTCACCAATTAAAAAAAAAATAGACTTCTTTGTCAACTGAATTGAGAGAGAATATATTTATTTGTGATAATTCAGGCATCCCCGGGCCGCAGTGTCTGTGTTGGCGAGCCGCATGCATGCCCCCGACGTTTGGCGAAACACTGTTCTAGAATCTACGATTTCTTTATCTTGATCGAACTACGACTCTCCTTAAAGGACCTGGTCAGGCCTAGCTGCAGTAGACACATTATGGCATGCTAAACCAGAGCAGGAGTTCATAACTTGTGGCCCCCCCAAAAAAGCCCCCATTCCTAGGCGGTCTGTGAACCCTTTTAGAGCAGGGCTGTGCAAAAAGGAAGCCAAGGGGTTTGGAGGGGGGAGGGGGGTGGACTAGCCTAGCCTCGTGTAAAAATATCAGGGGGCGCCAAAATAATATTTAGATAGTATCAATATAGTGACTTAAACGATACATTCCTATAGTCTTCACAATGACACGTGCCGACAAGATATCTTTCTCTGGTCCTCGGCGGGCGCCACTTACTGGTATACATTAGGGGTGGGGGGGGGCATTTTTAGTCTTCGCCCCAGGCACAGCTTTTTCTCAGCACTGCCCTATGTCCGAAGGTAAGATTCATATGTATTAAAATTATATTCCAGCATTTTCTTTTTTTTTTTTAAATCCCCACC